CACCCAAGAGGAAAGTGCCTGGAGAAAGCACCTGGAGGTCCGCCTGGTCCCTCCCGCCTGGCAGGAGCTGCTCCGTTCCCCTGGGGTGGCCATTCTGGCCTTCCCCCGCTGAGCCCTCGATCTCTTCTTCCAGGAGCGACGAGGTCCTTGCCGTGGCAAGCATGAACTATGACCCTCTGGTCTCCAAGGTGGCCGACGTCATGGGCGCCGGCAGGACGATCCGCAAGCGAGATGTGGAGTAAGTGAGCCAGAGCGGCTGCCTTCCTCCAACAGATGAACCCTGAGCGACGCCCCCCCCCCCGTAGCAAACACATTGGAGCAACTGCCGCCGACAGACACACGTGAGAGCTTCCCGTGGCTCTCGCTGTCCAGCTGAAGCGCAAACGCATCATTCCTGCCCCCTTAAACTGGGTTCTTGTATTTCTCTTTCGGTCTGGCAAAGGGCTCCCCACTTCCCTGCCGTGCGTTTGCCTCCCAGTTGGGATGACGGAGGTTCGAACGGCCGCTTGTTCTGCTTCTGAGTCCGAGGTGTCCTTGGGGGGCGGAGGGAGCATCAAAAAAGTCAAGCGGGCGGCCACAAGCATTCAGTCAAGCCCCCTGCGTAAAACGGGCTTTGATTGCACAGTCGTGGCTGCCATCTTGACTTCTTTGACATCCCCTGGGGATGCCTTGTCCTAAATCTAGGTCTAAACAATTCTAATGCGCAGAATGGATACAGACCGCAGAATCCTGCTCTTTTTGGCTCAGAACGGGGGCAAGGCAGCGTTTGGGGTGCCTCTTTTTATCGTCAGCTTTCTAGGGACTGACGAGCGGAGCCGCAGGGCCATTGTTCCCTGATTTTCAGTGTTGGCCGGTTTCCCCCTTTCCTGAAAGTCCCCTCTGGCTTCCTGCCTTCTTCACCCCCCACGGCTGTGGCAAATATTTGCATGAGAAAGAATTTGGGCATTGCAGGTTTGTTTGGCGGGGAGGGAGGAATACCAAAAGGGAGCTGGGACTATAGGTGGCTCCAGGGCACTCAGGCTGCCTCCCCCGGCTTAGAAAGTGGGTGATATTTCCATTTGGGGAATATAGTAAGAAACGTTTTACTCATTCCTTAGCGGTCGTTGCGTGCCAGAGGGATGGCAGAGCGAGGGCGACGGATGCTGCCGTTTCAGAAGCGAGAGAAGAGGGTTAGGCTGGGTAGGATTTCAATTTTTTTCCGGCACTGAGGAAGGTTACCCCGACTTACTCTCCCTTTCTCTCTCTTTCTCCTTTCGCTGCTGCAATTCCAGGCTCTTCGTCCGCTACGGCAAGTACGTATGCTTTAGTCAGTATCGTGGCCTTGCTCACGGCGTTTGAGGGGCTGCGCTCGGTTGAGAAGCTCTTGGGGTTTTCTCATTAGTGCAAAGGGAGAACCAGTTGCACAACTGCCCGGTTGTTAGATGATTAAGAAGAGCCTTGAGGCTGGTTTTGCGCAGAATTCGGGCTCCTCCAGGGGTCACCTGGGGGCAACAGGCAGACGCTTTCTGCCCCTGTGCTCCTGACCCTTCCATCCATCATCCATTTCTCTCTCTCTCTATCATCTCTCTCTATCATCTATGGC